CAATCTCCTCCTAAATCATGGTGCTCTTCAAACACACCAGACTTGTTCTGGCCTCAGGGCCTTTGCACTTACTGCTCTTCTAGCTGGAATGCTCCTTTTCTGATGTATATATGGCAGGCTTCCCTTCAGTAGCAGCTCTCAGTTCTGATATCAGCTCCTGCAAGAAGATTTTGCTGACCATCCTATTTAAAGTAGCATCTCATACCCCACAAGTCACTATCCCGTTGTTGTGTTTTTATTTTCTTCAGAGCATTGATCACTGTCTAAAATCATTGTATTTAATTACTTTTTTGCCCACCCCCCACTACCCATCAGCTTACAGAAGCTCCGGGAGAACAGCGACCTTCATCGTCTTGTTCACTGCTTCATCCTCAATACCTGATGGATGTGTAGAGATGCCTCGAGTACCAGGGATCGATTGAACAGCCCTCTCCTGAACATTACTCATGTAAAGCAACCATTTGCTGAAAAGTTAATTTCAGAGGGTATAAAAAACAGGAGTGGAAATGGTTCTGTCAATGTGTCATCAATTAGACATTTGAGTTGGGAATATTGCTTTCCACAAGTCATTTCTCTGGGAATGGTCTTCTGAATTAGAGAGGAAAATGCTGATCAGCTTCATGTAGTATCTAAATGTGATATCAATAAATGGTAGTAGTGACTCTAGGAAAGCTATATTCACACCTCTGTTGAGGGGCTGGAATTAGAGAGAAGGAGATAGGAGCTTAACAAGTATTTACATCTGGTTCTATAGACAGAAAAAAATCTTTGGGTCTAACTATTTAATCTTGATAGAAATGTTATGTTTTAATGATGCTCTAGAGCGTTATCATGGTGTTGCAGTGTTGCAGAATCAAAGTAGCTGAAGAGGGGCTCTTTTGCTTGAGACAGGGTCTCACTCTGTCACCCACACTGTGGTGCAGCAGTGCAATCTCAGATCACTGCAACCTCCACCTCCAGGGCTTAAGGGATCCTCCTGCCCCAGCCTCCCAAGTATCTGGTACTATAGGCATGCGTCACCATGGTCAGATAATTATTTTAAAATAGTTTTGTAGAGACAAGGTCTCACTATACTGCTTAGGCTGGTCTCGAATTCCTGGGCTCAAGCAACCCTCCCACTTCGGCCTCCCAAAGTGCTGAGATTACAGATGTGAGCCACTGCACCTGGCTAGAGGGGCTCTTGATGGATCGAATTCTAATTCTAAAAGGCTCTGACATAGCTCTCTTGAGTTTACTTTATGCCTATGTAACTGGATATTACTTTGGATTAATGGGCATGTCCCATTCCTCTGCATAGTGAATAGAATCATTGAAAAGCTCACCCTGAACAGTAGTTCTTTTGCAACCGGGTAATTATGGGTAAAGAGCTTTTCGTTTAGCTGACTTGGTGACAACATTACCAACATATAACATTGTTTCTATGGGAAAATGGAGTCTGTGTTCTTGACTTATAGATAAATACTTAGAATTTAGCCATTTCATACTAATAAATATCACCCCTTTTTCCTATCCAGGTTTTGAGTTCTGTGAGAAGTAAAATAAAGAGTACAACAGATGGACACAAAATATTACTTTTATAGAAGCTTATTTTTGAGAATGTGGCTTAGGCCTTCCTCCTACTGGATCATTACCTTCTTGGCACAACAATCCTGAATCCAGGTTCTCTCCCCAAAGGGAAACCGCAGGATCTGAGGTGAGTATTCCCAGTTTATTCTGAAATAAGTCACTACTCTTCATTTAGGGCAAAATGAATAAAGACATGCCAAGAGGCCAGGAGTGTTTCAGGAATTAAACTCCCTCCATATGCAAGGAAACATCAGCCCTGAGGAAGAAGCTGTTCCCCTCATGAAAGCTCTGTGCATTGTCTCTGTCATCCTGCAGTACTGAAGTCGAGTGTGGATTGAGTTAGGAGGGGGCATAACAGTGATTGCTGATTTATACTTTGAGGACTGCCTGACTTTCTTGCTGCCCATATTTTTCCAGATGATAAAGCCAGGGAAGATTCAGGGAGCCAGATGCTTGGCAGTCCTCCATGCCTTCCTGGTTATACTTTTCATTCTATGCTCAGCAGGTAAGTAATATAGAAAACCATGGAAATATTGACACTGTTATAATATAGTGGCATCAGTAGACACTGGTGATAGAGCACTGTGGGCACTACTCACTTGATATCTTGAACCTAAGACGTGAAGGGGTGTGATAGGCTCCTCCCAGTTTAGGAGACAGGATTTGAGACCCTGCATTTGAGATCCTGCTGCTACTTACGTGACCGCAGGCCACTTTTTCAGTTTTTCTAGATTCCTGGTTAGGCTTTTATAAAGTGAATATAGTAAGTTTAAAATGCCATATAAAAATGGCAGAAAAGGAGAAAAGATTAGCAATACATATGTGAAGAACTTTTACCATTAAAAACCAAGAAGAAAACCAACTCAATTTTACAATGTGCAAATTATTTGAACAGGTACTTTACAAAAGAAGAGACATGAGTGTCTAATATGCACATAAAAAGATGTTCAACATCATTTGTCATCAGGAGATGCAAATTAAAACAAAAGTGAGATGCCACTACATACCCTTTAAGCATAGCTAATATAAAGACTGACAATACCAAGTGTTGGCAAGGATAGGGAACAACTGGAATTCTCATATATTGCTGATGGAAAATGGCATAACAACTTAGGAAAACCATTTGACCATTTATTAAAAAGTTATATACCTACCATGTGATGCAGCCATTCTATTCTAAATATTTACCCTAAAGAAATGAAAGTGTGTGTTCATAAAAAAATGTGTACATGAATACTTATAACTTTTTTTTTTTTTTTTGAGACGGAGTCCCACTCTGTTGCCCAGGCTGGAGTGCAGTGACGTGATCTTGGCTCACTGCAAATTCTACTTCCAGGATTCAAGGGATTCTCTTGCCTCACTCTCCTGAGTAGCTGGGTTACAGGTGCCCGCCACCACACCTGGCTAATTTTTGTATTTTTAGTACAGATGAGGTTTTGCCACGTTGGCCAGGCTGATCTCTAACTCCTGATCTCAGGTGATCCACCTGCCTCAGCCTTCCAAAGTGCTGGGATTATAGGCATGAGCCACCACATCTGGCCTTATTTATAATATTTTTATTTGTGATAGTCAAAACTAGAAACAACTCAAATGTCCATCGACAGACGAATTGATAAACAAGCCATGGTGCATCGATACAGTGGAGTAGTGTTCAGATATAAGAAGAAACAAACTATGAATACACACAGCAAGGATGAATCTCAAAATGATTATGTTAAGTGAGAGAAACTGGCCCAAAAAAACAAAACAAAACAAAAAACTACATCTGTATGATTCCATTTACATAAAATGCTAGAAAATACAGACTAATCTCTAGAGACAGAAAGCAGATCAACGGTTGCCTGGGGTTGGGGTGGAGTGTGGGGGATGCAGCACTAAAAAGGGACAAGAGGAAAGTCTTGGGTGTGTCGGGAATGCCTGGTATCTTGGTTGCAATGGTAGCTACACATGTATATACATCAATCAAAACTTGTTGAACTGTACGCTGTAAATAGGTCAGTTTATTGACATAAATTATAGCTCAATAAAGCTAGTTTAAAAAGAAAAGAAAAACAAGCCTTTGTTTAAATACTGATTCCAGGAGTTATTCAAGCTGAGAATAATAGCACAACATAATGGGTCTTAGACGTGTCTTTGTTTTGGAAAAAGTGTTTAAATGGACCTCTCAGCCATGTAAGAACAAACCCCTGTCTTATTCTTGAATGGAGACTCTAGGACAAAAAGCACTTATGGGCGATCATACAAAAATGTTTTGTTTTCATCAAGGTCAGAGTTAAAAATGTAAACCCAAAGGCCAGGCATGGTGGCACATGTGCTTGTAATCACAGCACTTTGGGAGGCTGAGGTAGGGGATTGCTTGAGTCTAAGAGTTTGAGACCAGCCTGGACAACATGACAAAACCCCATCTCGTCTGAAAATACAAAAATCAGCCAAGCATGGTGGTGCATGCCTGTAATCCCAACTACTTGGGTGACTGAGGCAGGAGGATCACTTGAGCCCTGGAGGCAGAGGTTGCAGTGAGCTGAGATTGTGCCACTGCACTTCAGCCTGGGCGACAAAGTGAGACTCTGTCTCAAGAAAAAAAAAAAATTTAAACTCAAAACTCTAGCCACAACTCAGAAGGTATCATTAGTTTACATTCCTCTGGCTGGGGTTGGACACAGTAGAGTTGGGGCCCTGGACTTTAAGGAGGGAGAACTGGATTAAGAAGACCCAAATCCAAGTCGTAAAGCTGGTTCCTGACACATGGTGAGAGGTGAGGGGCTGAGGAACTAGAGAGAGGGTGAGAAAGGGAACTGAGATGTGGGGACCTGCCCAATGCGCAGCCAGGAGCAGAGAGATCAAATCAGCTGTTCTAGGTTTTCTCTTTTCCGTACTTTATTTCCCACTCCCCAATACACCAGTCACCCACAAGACTTCAGTAAAGTTAGGTTAGATGCCATGATGTGATGTTCATTATGCTTGGAAACTTTACTGGGGGGCTGTATCCAGGTAGAGTCATAGAAGCTTGGAGATGTGATTACAAAGTTGCTAGATATGGCCATCAGAGAGGCCCGGAATGGTGGTCCCCAGCATATGGTGACTAAAGTTAAGCAACTAATAATTTTGGGAAACATGTAAGTCCTCTTCAGGGATTCTCAGAACTACAGCTAGAGGAAAGTGGGTTTCCTGCACTCAAATGCGGGTGAGTAGAGCACAGTTCATTATTGAATGTTTAATGGAATGGTGACCTCCTAAAACATGGTAGCTTGGAGACATTTGAGATATCAAGAGATTAACCAAACTCTTGTGCCACCAACCTTACAAGGATATTTGGAATGTCCTAAGTTATTTTGGGCTTCAAGTCAGAAAAATGATTCGTAAGGTCAGCTCCACCTCTTCTATCTCAAAAGCTCGGAAGAGACCTATGGTATATGACAAAATGCTGGCTATAATTGCCTTTCTCTGGTTTGACGTCAATTAATGACCGGACTTTGTACCTGAAAGACAGTTAAAACTAAAGGTAGCCGGGGAGGGAAATCATTTCCTCCTTGGATTACCAAGCAAGAACAGCAAAAATGAAAGCCGTCACTCATCTTACTCTTCTTGCTCTCCTTTTTGTACACACAGGTAAGGAATATTTTTACATTTTAATTCTTCCAATCATGTATGTTGTCTTTGAGGTAGAATCAGCAGGCCTACGGCTACGAATTCTCCCAGCCCAGCACACGGTCTATTTTATAAATGAAGTTTCCTCTCCAGCTCAGCTCAAAGACACAGGCATTTTATCCTGTGATAGGTAAGATAGAGCAGCAGCAAAAGTGGTCTATGGGCTGGGCGCGGTGGCTCAAGCCTGTAATCTCAGCAATTTGGGAGGCCAAGGCAGGTGGATCACTTGATGTCAGGAGTTTGAAACCACCCTGGCCAACATGGTGAAACCCCATCTCTACTAAAAATACACACACAAAAAAAAAAAATTAGCCAGGCATGGTGGTGGGCACCTGTAGTCCCAGCTACTCAGGAGGCTGAGGCAGGAAGAATCGCTTTAACTCGGGAGGTGGAGGTTGCAGTGAGCTGAGATGGCACAGGGTGACAGAGCCAAAGTCCATCTCGGGGGGTTTGGGGAGAAGAAGTGGCCTATGGAGTAAGACTTGGGGGCTCAGCAAACCAGAGGTTTGTCTTTGAGAGTTCCTGAGGCCAGATAAGAAGGACTAAGTAAGTTCCAAGGACCCAGTTCTCTACTGTAGCGTTCTGGATCCCCCATCATGATAATCAGAGAGCTGACCGCAGGAAAAAGCCTCCTTGCACAAATGTACTTGAATTTGAGAAGGCTAAACCATAGGGAGTAGTTGTCATGTTGATTAGACTTCAGACATGTGCTCTTTGTTCTGAGTTAGGAAGGGTTCTATGGGCCACATGTGGGTGAGATCATCAATACGTTGAGAGGTGAGGGTTGTGGGGGCCAATTGGCTTAAAATTTTGCTGAAAAATCACTGCCACGAAGTAGATGGATTAATAGGAAAAAAGGCATACAAGTGTATTTAATGTGTGTACCCAGGAGCCTTCAGCATGAACACCCAACTTCCTGATGAGGTATAGAAGCTTATATTTCATCTTGAAGTTACAGAAAGAAAGGGGGCTTGGATCTTGATAAAACAAGTTACGGAAGAAGGGAGAAGAGGAATTCTGTTGAGGGGCAATAAATGATTAGTAGGGAGAACAATCTGATCTGGGAACAAAAATGAACTTGTAGATAATTTTCCTTGGAATTTAAAGATGCTTGGAGACAGTCATTATCTTGACGAAGGGTCTGCTCAGGGGTGGTTTCCTTCTTGGTCTTCTTTCCTGTAGTGGATAATGACATAACAGGGAGGGGAACAGGAGCAATAGTTCTTCTTTGGTGGGTTAGTCCTTACAGCGCTTGTTGACCTCTGAGAGTTTTTATTTTAAAACACTCATTATATCAGGGAGTTATATTTGAGGGTGAAATTTGATTTCCTTCAGGTTCAATGAGTTGAAATCTAGAGGCTGCTTGCAGAAAGGAAGAAAGTCTTTGATGAGGCAGACATATGAAGAGAAATTAAGCCCTTTCAGAGAACAGGAATGAATGGCATCAGGATTAGAGTTTTTGAGAGCTGGTTTCAAGCTTTTAATGCGGGGAGTTTGGAAAAGCCTAGGTGCACAGGAGGGGAGGGCTCACCAGATCTCTCCTGCCAATGCTGGGGGCAGATGCCAGGTCCAAGCCTTCAGGACCAAGGAAGAATTGGTGAGGCTTGTATGACTTTCAGGAGCCACTATTAAAAAAGGATTGACTTTTAAAAAATAGAATAGAAGGGCGGTAGAAAGGGGAAAGTTGGCTGGGAAGGCCAAGGAGATGAATAGAGAGGTAGGGGAATCAGGAATCATTGAGGCTCAAGGTACCTTAGGGGAGTGGAGATGTTTCTCGACCCAGAGAACCCAGGGGGAAGGGCAAATCGTGGAGCAAGCAGGGATTCAGACAGCATGCCACCGCTTATTAGCTGTGGGGTGTCTCTGACCCTCAGTGTCTTCCTGTGCAACAATAGAGGGGAAATCCCTATACTGAAGAGTGACTGAGAGGATTAAATGAGACAGAGAGCCTGATGTGCTGGGATACTCCCTGGCACATAGTAGGGGCTTATGATTTCCCTTTTTGTCATGTCTGCACTTGGATCTGATCTTTCTTTCTTCGTTTCTTCCTCTCTCTTTTTTTTCTTTTTTGAGACTGAGTTTCACTCTTGTCGCCCAGGCTAGAGTGCAATGGCACGATCTCGGCTCACTGCAACCTCCGTCTCCCAGATTCAAGTGATTCTCCGGCCTCAGCCTTCCGGGTAGCTGGGATTACAGGCACCTGCCACCACACCTGGCTAATTTTTGTATTTTTAGTAGAGATGAGGTTTCACCATGTTGGCCAGGCGGGTCTCAGACTCCTGACCTCAGGAGGTCCACCTGCCTTGGCCTCCCAAAGTGCTGGGATTACAGGCGTGAAGTACCACGTCCAGCCTGGATCTGATTTTCAGACTTTGGTTTTGACTTCCTCTTCTTTGTTTAAAAAAGTTATACAAGTAATGCAGACCCACTGTAACAAATTCAAACAAAACAGATGTATATGGAATAAAAATTGAGCGTCCAATCGGCCTTCCCACCCATCTACCTCCAGATATATTAATATTGACAGTTTTTGTGGCTATTAAGGTTTGCTTTTGAAAAAAAAGTTTATTTTATTATTTATTTATTTATTTTGAGACAGAGTTTTGCTCTTGTTGCCCAGGCTGGAGTGCAATGGTGCGATCTCGACTCACTGCAACCTCCCCCTGCCAGGTTCAAGCAATTCTCCTGCCTCAGCCTCCCAAGTAGCTGGGATTACAGGTGCTCACCACCATGCCTGGCTTTTTTTGGTATTTTTAGTAGAGATGGGGTTTCATTACATTGGCCAGGCTGTTCTCAAACTCCTGACCTTGTGATCCGCCCACCTTGGCCTCCCAAAGTTCTGGGATTACAGGCGTGAGCCACCACGCCCGGCCTTATTTTATTTTTTGAGATGGAGTTTTGCTCTTGTCGCCCAGGCTGGAGTGCAATGGCATGATCTCAGCTCACTGCAACCTCTGCCTCTCAGGTTCAAGTGATTCTCTTGCCTCAGCTTCCTGAGTGGCTGGGATTACAGGTGCCCACCACCATGCCCAGCTAATTTTTGCATTTTTAGTAGAGATGGTGTTTCACCATGTTGGCCAGGCTGATCCCAAACTCCTGACCTCAGGTGATCTGCCCACCTTGGCCTCCCAAACTGGTGGGATTATAGGCATGAGCCACCACACCTGGCCTGATACATTTTAAAAAGTTGCCTTTTTTTTTTGAGACAGAGTCTCACTCTGTTGCCAGGCTGGAGTGCAGTGTCACGATCTCGGCTCACTGCAACTTGTGCCTCCTGGGTTCAGGCAATTCTCCTGCCTCAGCCTCCCAAGTAGCTGGGACTACAGGCGTGTGCCACCACGCCCAGCTAATTTTTGTACTTTTAGCAGAGACAGGGTTTCACCATGTTGGCCAGGATGGTCTCAATCTCTTGATCTCGTGATCCACCCACCTCAGCCTCCCAGAGTGCTGGGATTACAGACATGAGCCACCGCTCCTGGCCTGAAAATTTTTTTAAAGTTGCTTTTTTATGTAACGTTAAGGATTTTGGAGGTGCGTGTAAGGAATCACTACTTCAAACATGAGTTGCATCTCAGGATTCTGAGCAACCAAGGGCAGGACGTGTATCTTGTACACCTTTACGTTCCTCCTCACCCCCAGGCCTTGTATAGCACCTTGACTGCAAGGAACGCTACACAAGCATTTACTGAAACAAATGAAAAATGTGCCAGTGACATTTGAAGTGCCTTTAACAGGCAAAACTTTCCAGGTTGTTTTTGCTTTCTCTGAGAGATTAGGACTGCATTATTCCACAGAATCTGATGAGTGCCTTTGGGAACCAACATCTCATCACAATGAAGAGTTTAGATCTGGGAGAAAGGTGTTTGATTGTGACTTTCAGCTAGCTTTGAATAAAGCAGTTATAGATGTGCCCTGGACAGGGGTGGTGATTATGGAGTCTTCCCCAGAAAGAAACCAGGTCAGGGCATATATTTTGCCACTGAAACCTATGATTTGTACCTCCGTGGACATTGTGCTATCCTTGTGTTATTTAGAAGTTTTAGGACCTAAGGAAATAAAAAGACTAAAGCTATTTTTACTGCACAGATGTCTTCATATATTTCTGTTATCTATAGATTGAACAGAATAGGTTATTTTACAATTCCTCTTGGGTATTTTTACTAGATAATTTAAGCCTGGGATATCAGCTCTAAGCTGTCTTCCCTAAAATCTGTACAACCCTCGGATAAAGCACACATATACACATAGACACACACAAGTATATTTTAGTTTTTTTAAAAAATTGTAGCTATTCACAGCAATGAATTGCTGTCAGCTTGGAATGTGTCTCATTTATTCAAACTAATTGAGCATTCTGAAATGTAATCTCCCTAGTGAACAGAAATTTAAAACCAAAATAAACAAGCCTAGAAGTCCAAAACTCGTCGTCATAATTCCAAAGACCTGCAGAAAACCTCTTAAGATGACCCGATTTGTTTTCTGCACATCTACAGAAACATGTTGGTTCTTTGGCATCGGCCGGGAATGAACATTTCCAAAGCATGAAATTCAGGGTCTGGTGGGGTTGGGGCTGTTTGCACCCACAATCTGCCAAGCCCTTTTCTTCTGTCTAGAGTTTTCCATGGCGAGAGCCAGCCCCTGGCCACTCTCACTGCTACCCCAGTGATAGAGGGCACCATGGAGGTCACTTCTGCTTCCACTGCTTTCATTCTGATCCCCAATTTTCTCTATTTGCTCTTCTTGTGTTTGCTCCTCGGGGATGTCTTGGTTTTTCATTAAATGGATGGCCTTCCCCATAACTTTAATCAAGTGGTAGTTAGGACATTGTCATCTCACAGACCTGGCTTTCCCTCTGGGCAAATTTCTTAACCTCTCTGAGTATTGGTGGGCTCTTCTGTCAAATGAGGGCATTTACGTCTACTTTACACAGGTACTGTCGGGTGCAGGGCCAGCGCTTGATAGATGAGAACTATCCTGAGTGGCAGGAATAGGAAGAGTGGCAGTCAACATTGCCAGCTGGTAATGTATTTCTTGCCTAGGAAGAGCAATTGCTGATCTCTTCAACATTTCTGAATGGCTATGTTAGCCAAGCCCTCTTCAAGGTGAAGAGCCAGGCTCTGCCCTCAAGGGGCTCATAGACCCATGGGGGAATCAGGAAGCATATTCCACAGTTCTCTGTACCCTAAGGTTTAGAAATCGCTTCCTCACTAAAACTTTTTCCTTCAATAATTTTTTTAACCTATTAAGGTCAGAGTTCTTAGAGACAATGAAAATTTCTAGAAAACTTATCACTGGGCCAGGCAAGGTGGCTCACACCTGTTATCCCAACACTTGGGAGGCCAAGGTGGGAGGATCACTTGAGCCCAGGAGTTTGGGGCTGCAGTGAGCTATGATGGCACCACTGCACTCCAGCCTGGGTGACAGAACAAGACCATGTCTCTAAAAAAAAAAAAAAAGAAAGAAAGAAAAGAAAAAGGAAAAGAAAATATAGATCACTGAATCACTAGAGTTTACCACTCCATGCATCCAGGGGTTCCTAAAAGTTGTGAAAATGCAACTTTGATACCCATCATAGCTCAGAAAGCAAAGATCACTTATTCATCTTACTCTTAGTCAATGTATCGAGAATTGTGAATGGGAAAACACTACTAGAATATAATTTTGGAAGAAGTATAATAAGCACTTAATGAGGTATTTTTATTTTATTGTTCTTTACCCAACCCTAACCTTTCCCTCCCTCAATCTATTAAGGTAATGAAAAATGGGGGCAGTTGCCTTAAAGTGCGGAAAGACAAAAGGAGTCCACTTCCGGGTAGTCACTGCGCCACCTTGTGGCATTCTCAATTGTCGTCACTGAGAACAGTCTGAAGTATATTAAACCCAGATCGACAGTTGTACAACTACAGGCATAAATAATATTGCTTCTTGGTACTCAACTTAAAAAATATTAACTCCTCTGTGGGACTGGTGGGTCACGTCTGCAATCCCAGCACTTTGGGAGGCTGAGGCAGGAGGATCATTTGAGGCCAGGAGTTAAGAGACCAGCCTAGCCAGGATAGTGAGACCCCCATCTCTAAAAAACAAAAAACATTAGCCAGCCATGGAGGCGTTACAACTGTAGTCCTAGCTATTTGGGAGGCTGAGGTGGGAGGATTGCTTGAGCCTAGGAGCTCAAGACTGCCGTGAACTATGATCACACCACTGTACTCCAGCCTGAGTGGCAGAGGAAGACCTTATTTCTAAAATAAATAAATAAACATTAACTCTTTGTCATATTTTTCAATAACATTTTTTCCAGTTTTGTCTAATTTTTAATTTTATTTATTGTGGGGTTTTTTGTGTTTAGAAATAACCATGTATTTTAATTTTTAATATAGTCATATATATTCATTTTTCCAGAAAAGAATGAGTTGAGGCTGGGCATGGCAGTTCATAACTATTATCTCAGCAGTTTGGGAGGCCAAAGAGGGTGGATCACTTGAGCCCAGGGGTTTATGACCAATCTAGGCAACTTGGGGAAACCTTATCTCTACCAAAAAAAAAAAAAGAATGAGTTGGATACGAATTAGTATTAAGTAACTGCCATTAGTTATTCAATGTACTGTCTGCTCAAACTTGGTATCTTTGTTCCTCCAGCCACTGCCCAAGGCCACTCAGCTGATACTTCAGGAAACACAGAAACTGCAACTAATCCTACAGTAGCTACAACTGATGCCACTGAAACTAATTCCCCTGAAACTGCTGGCACCACGACTACACCTTCTTCCCCAACAGCTACCCCCATAATTCATACACATAGTTCCTCCACAATTCCTACACCTACTACTACAGACAATGAGTCAACCGCAAATGCAAATTCATTAACTACATCTGACATAATCACCACTTCATCTACAAATGATGGATCAATCACAACGGCTCCTTCTGAAACACAAAGTGACAATAAAATGTCCCCCACCACAAAAGACAACCAATTATCAGAGTCCCCCACTGGCATCACTTCACTGGAGACCAGCACCCTAAACACCACAGGTAAGGGCGATTCCCTCAAAGACTCCCCAAGAATGGAGCATACCATTGTGGAGGGAGGGAGGTGGGTATGTTCTGGTGGGCTAGGAAAATGGGTCTAAAGAAACCCAAGGTTTCCTTGGAAATTAACTGTGGGTTTGAAATCTGGGTCACAATGTAGTGATGGCAGAGATCCTAAAACCCTCAGTTTCCTTGTGTTCTCCTTTCCTTTCCTCCTATCCTACCTCAAGTTATTTGCTAGCTGTGCAGTATTTTTCTTCAATGAACTCAGGCTTTGTGAAAGGTATCTCTATAGCTTTCCTCTCCCTAGAGGATTTTTAGAAATAGTTTCAGCTTCTCTGAGAAGACCACGTCCAAATAAGCACAGACTGTTCAGCCCCACTGATCTAGCTCTCTGGTCTACCTAAGGAAGAAGTCAGTTCTACCCTTGAGGTAAGATGGTGGCTGATGACAATGTGGAACTTGTGTCAAGCCAAGAATTTGAGACTGAGGCATAGAAAGCAAAACAACAGCAGTGTTCAAACAGTCCTAGGCATAACCAGGGCCATTGTCCAAAGGACAGATGCTCTGGGAACACTAAGAGATGACAAGTGACCTCAAGCAGAAGTTGATGAAACAGGAACCATTTGCTTCACTTCCCCAAGCTCAGTCTATAACAGAAATCAACCAAGTTTATCAGTAAAGGCTAAATGGCCTTGTGGACCATGTGGGGTCTCTGTTGTAACTCCTGCACTCTACTATTTTAACATGAAAGCAGCCACAGTTAACAAACAAAAGGTTGGTCAGATATGACTCGTGAACTATAGTTTGCTAGCCCTTGATCTAGAAGAATCGTCACACTTTAGAGCCTGAAGAATCTAGATAAATGTTATCATTCTCAGACGGGAAAGCTGGGACCCAGTGATGGCCATGACTCACCCAGGGTCAAAGACCAAGTGGATGTCTCCCTACCCTTAACTTCTGGTAGCTTCCTCAATGTTCTTTGATAGATTTAAGAAGTGGATGGTTAAGCAAGTAGAGCCCAGAGGCTGTATCTAAGACGTCTTTCCCCAGTCTTCTTTCATGTTTGGAGGGGCCACTCTGAAAGTGGGATCTAATGGGACACAGCTCTCCTGGAATCAGGAAAGGGAGGTTTTCTAAGCCATTTCTGCTTTGCCAGGTGTTCCCTCAGAGTCAGGCCGTCTTCCTGTGTTCTGGCCCTACCATGAATAAACTGTGGGGTCTGGGGCAAGTCATTTCTCTCTTGGCTTCAACTTACTGATCTGCAATAAGGTGAGACTAAACTAAAAAGCCCCCAAATCTCTTCTGGCTGTAACATCCTGTGACTTAATCAATTCCTGGCCATGAAACAAGCTAACAAGTCTGTCCTTCGTTGCCGAAGAGAAAGCACCCGGGAGTTACTTGTCTGGTATCTCCAGAAGGAGATACATCTAGTCTCTTCCCTAAGATATCCCAAGTCATCTTTGCAAGGTGGCTGAGGCTTTTCTTAAAGAAGCCATTAATTTTATTTAGAAGACTGGTTCATACCTTGTCAGAGGGGTGACCCTTATTTTGTTTATAAGATACTGAACTATGCCTCCTTTTATCCTATATAGTCTATTTTTTTCTCTTTAAAAAATTGTTGGCCGGGCGCGGTGGCTCACACCTGTAATCCCAGCACTTTAGGAGGCTGAGGCGGGCGGATTACGAGGTCAGATAGAGACCATCCTGGCTAACACAGCGAAACCCTGTCTCTACTAAAGAATACAAAAAATTAACCGGGCGTAGTGGCGAGCACCTATAGTTCCAGCTGCTTGGAAGGCTGAGGCAGGAGAATGGTGTGAACCCAGGAGGTGGAGGTTGCAGTGAGCTGAGACTGCACCACTGCACTCCAGCCTGGGCAACAGAGCAAGACTCCGTCTCAAAAAATATATATATATATTGTTAATGGAAGCCGGGCATGATGGCTCACGCCTGTAATTTCAGCACTTTGGGAGGCTGAGGTGGGTGAATTACTTGAGCTCAGGAGTTCAAGACCAGCCTGGGAAACGTGGCAAAACCCCATCTCTACAAAAGAAAAATACAAAAATTAGCCAGGTGTGGTAGCACACACCTGTAGTCTCAGCTACTCAGGAGGTTGAAGTGGGAGGACCACTCAAGCCCTGGAGGCAGAGGTTGCAGCCAGCCAAGATTGTGTCAGGCTGGGCACAGAGCAAGACCCTGTCTCAAAAAAATAATGTTAATGGACTTTATTTTTAGAGCTGTTTTAGACTCATAGCAAGATTTAGAGAAAGGTACAGAGGTTTCCTATATACTCCTTGGCCTGACACACACATTATCAACATCCCCTACCAGAGCGGTGTGTTTATTACAATTGATAAACCTCCAGTGACACATCATTATCACCTACAGACCATAGTTTACATTAGAGATCACTCTTGATGTTATGCATTTTATGAATTTGGACAAATAAATGTATGGCATGCATCCACTATTATGGGATCACAACCCTAAGAATCCTTTGCACTTTTCATCCTCCCCTCTAACTCCTGGCAACCACAGATCTTTTTACTGTCTCCATAGTTTTGCCTTTTCCAGAACTTCATACAGTTGGAATCATACAGTATGTAGCCTTTCGAGATTGACTTCTTTTACATAGTAGTATGCACTTCCTCCATGTCTTTTCATGGCTTGATAGCTCATTTTTGAGTGCTGAATGATATTCCATTGTCTAGATGTACCAGTTTGTTTATCCATTCACCTACTGAACGGTATCTCGGTTGCTTCCAAGTTGTGGCACGCATGAACAAAGCTGATATTAACGTGGATGTGCAGGTTTTTGTGTGGACATAAATTTTCCACACCTTTGGTTAAATACCAAGGAGGGCGACTCTCAGATCTTCTCGTAAGAGTATGTTCAGTTTTGTAAGAAGCCACCAAACTTTCCTCTCAAAGTGGCTGTGGCATTTTGCATTACCACCAAACAATGAATGAGAGTTCCTGTTGCCCCATATTCTCACCAGCATTATTTTACTTTTTATTTTTTAAAAGAAGTAAATTAGGCCTATGATTATGGAAAAAGCAGCTCAAACAGGGCCAAATCGTGTGCAATAAAAATTAAATCTCGCTCTCATCCTGAACCCCTAGGACCCAGACCCCGAGTTTCCTTCCCCAGAGGCAACTTCTGTGGCCAGTTCCTTGTATCTCCCTCCTGAAATTACCTATGCAAATATAAGCATACATATTTGCTTGTGTATAATCCTCCCCTTCTTTTATTCACAAAAGAGAGCATGTTATACACATCGTACCTTACATACAGCTTTTAAAGAAATCAGTGGTTTCTACATACAGGTTTGTAAGACTCTCAAGACAGCTTTGAAGGTTATCAAACACATAAGCTATTCTGCCATCGCAGCTCAGAATCATTCCACTTGACAGAAATGAAGAAAACTGGCAGCCCAGATCACCGTTGGACCACTGAGCTAACTCTCCTCCTCAGACCTCATCAGTTCCCAGAGAGAGAAAGATACTGCACTCTGCTTGGCCTGGGAGACTCGGCCCGCAGTGTAGAACCCATTGCAGTGTTATTTTCACCATTTATTCAAGTGATCTACTTAGAAAGCCAGAGGCTGGAGTGTCTTCTCATGGCCTCTTAGAATTTTCACTGAGTTAATCCACATTCTCTCCTTTCCTGTCCCATTCCTGTTTTTATGGCTATGTCTCCTAGGTATGCTTACCAGAATATGACATCTAGTTTCTTTTCCGAGCTTCTTGGCTGTTCAATTCTTCATACCTTTCTAAAAGTAAGACGTTTTATCTAGAATGTTTTGGGGAGCCCCACCTTGTGTTAGAGGACTGTGCTTCAAGGTTCTGGGGGGGACTTTGAGATCTGAAGATTCCTGACTCCTTGGAGTTAGAAGACTGCAATCTCTCTTTCTCTGGGCAAGCCCTTGTCCACTAATCTCTGATCTTTACTATTGACGAGTATTATATTTGGTTCTAGAATTTCAGAAACAACTCTCTAGAGACCTAAGCAAGCAAATATTTGTTTTTAACTCTTCCAAAAGTGTGCTGTGGAGTAACACAACCAAGGAATGGAAAGGGCCCAGAAGGGAGGCAAGAAGATGAAAAAATACATTTCCTCTTGTTATTTATTGTCATTTCTCTGGATTTCTAATCTCTTTCTACTCCATCTAAGGTCCCAGCAATCCTTGCCAAGATGATCCTTGTGAAGATAATTCATTATGTGTTGACCTGCATAATACACGTTTTTGCCTGTGTTTAGAAGGGTATTACTACAACTCTTCTACGTGTAAGAAAGGTGAGTTACAAGGGATGAGCCGTGTCTGAGCTCTGTATCTCATACTAAAAGTGGAATCGAAAACTCAAAATGATGGCAAAAGGAGATTCCAAAATATCAGAGATAAAGAAAATGTGGAGGCAACAAAGGCCAGCAAAGTAGAGAAAAGTGCTGTTACTTAGGGACACTGAGGTAGAACAAGGTGATCTATCTAAGACCACATAGTCCAGCAACCCTGGGAACCTGATCATCAGTTCTGTGTCACAAGATTTGTTTGCTCCACAACATCAGATCCCCCTCTTAGAGATATAAGAGCCCTTCAGCTCTAAAAATGGATTTCAGGAGTACATTTACACACCTGGGGCATAATGATGTTTTGATTAGATCAAACATCAAAAGTGCAATGAAGGTCTGAGGACTGACTGTCTGAGTTCTAGTTCTGTTTTTTTTCTGTTTTATGAATGAGAAATATCTTCATTTTCCAGAGCAGCCAATTCTATAAGAAATTAATGCATTGCATTGCCCACTGGCTTAGGGATATATCAAAAGCCCCCCAAATGCTCATATTTTTAGCACTAATAATCTCACTTCTGGGAATTTACTCTAAGTGACCCCAAATACAGAAGAACAGTTTGTGTGTGAAGATGTTCATTGCAACCTTTTTCTTTTCCTTTTAAATAATTAAAAGCACTAAGTCCAATAACAAAAAATGATTACATCAAGGAAGGGAACATATACTTCATAGAATATTATGCAACCTTTAAAAATGATGGTTATGAGACCAGGCATAGGAGCTCACACCTGTAATCCTAGCACTTTGGGAGGCCAAGGCAGGAGGATCACTTGAGGCCAGGAACTTGAGACTAGCCTAGCCAACATACTGAGACCCCTATTTCTACAAATGTTAAAAAATTGCCTAGCTGTGGTGGCATATACCTGTAGTCTCAGCTAGTCAGGAGGCTGAGGCAGGAGGATCCCTTGAGCCCAGGAGTTCAAGCCTGCAGTAAGCCAGTTGTGCCACTGCACTCCAGCCTGGGTGACAGAGCAAGACCCTGTCTCTCTATCTCTTTCTCTGAAAAAAGAAAAAAAAAAAAAAGACTAGGCAACGATTTGGAAAATACCTATTATATAATAAGAAAAAAAGAAATGTGGCATAAATTTGGAATTACAACAATGATGTAAACTGTGAACGGAAAGAAATATACCAAAATGAAAATGGTTGTGCCAGGTTGGGTGGGATTATGCATAACTTTAAAAATATTTCCAGATTTCCTGTAGTGTCATTATACAATGTTGGGAATTCTAAAAAATAATCTATGTTTTAAAACAAAATGGAAATGACCCTCTTTTCATTAAATAGTACAGAAAGATTCTGCTTAACTTTCAGGAAAGGTATTCCCTGGGATGATTTTAGTGAACGTATCAGAAACATTTGATCCAGAAAAGAAACATTCTGTGGCCTATCAAGATTTGCATAGTAAAATTACTGACTTCGTAAGTATTTTCCAGCTTTCCGTTCTGTGAAACATTCTTTTGTTCTAACACTGAGTTGCAGAGAGTAGAGCTGGTCTTCAGGTGGTTCACGCTAGTACCATGGTACCAGTTGTTCAAACAGTGAAATGTACCTTTACTGGTTGGTAAACAGCAGCTGTCCTGAGTGCCTCCACCGGTGCCACCACTTATTCATTGCCCAGGCCTCTCCCCTGGGACCCTTGGACCACCCCATCATCTTGCACCTGGCCTGGCATGGCAGAGGGCCTGCAGAAGCTGGCTCCAGCCATACCATACCCATTGTTTTATAAGCTATTAATACAGTTTTAAATGGACAGACAAATATTATGAAGTTTTGAAATAAATTATTTCCACAGAATGAAAGAGAAAAAATTTAAAGATGTTGTTTTTCTTTTTTATATTCAAATTTGCATACATTTTCATACTAGTCTGGCTTTAAAAAAATGTCTAGAAGAATAATTATATCTGAATATCTGTTACTTATTTTTCCCATTTTCAAAAATGTTGGCATGAGCAATACTTTCCCATCGTTTAGGTTACTGTGACCGAGTGCACACGTGTGAGCGAGCATGAAAGGAAAGGGTCTTTCCATTTTGCAGCCACAGATGTTAGCCCCGGAAGGACTCTCAGAGAGCATCCAGCCAATATAGCTCAAAGTTCAGTTTTAAAGGAAAAAATATTAGCCTTAAATATGTCTTAGAAGTTGAGGTGGAGGCTGGGCACGGCTGCTCATGCGAGTAATCCTAGCACTTTGGGAGGCTGAGGCGGGCAGATTACTTGAGGTCAGGTGTTTGAAACCAGCCTAGCAAACATGGTGAAACCCCATCTGTACTAAAAATACAGAAAAATGAGCCGGGCGTGGTGGCAGGCGCCTGTAATCCCAGCTACTCAGGAGGCTGAGGCAGGAGAATCACTTGAACCCAGGAGGTGGGGGTTGCAGTGGCCCAAGATCATGCCACTGCGCTCTAGCCTGGGGGACAGAGTAAGACTCCGCCTGGAGAAAAAAAAAAAAAGAAGTAGAGATGGAGAGACATTTTTTAAAGCTGAAGTCTTATTCCATGACAGTGTCTCTCAATTTGAAATTATATCACTATTAGAACTGGTAACATGTAAAAAACGTATCATGGAAATGATTTTACAGATGGTGCAAAGAGAGCTAGTGCTTCCGACTGCACAGCCAGCCAGTACCTGACAATGCTAGGATAGAATCTGTGGCTGCTGTGTCACAGAGTTTGCTCTGCCCCTTTGCCATGTCACCTCTGCCCTGTGGGCCAGCTGGCAGTGACTTGCCCTCTCATCTCGGATCTGCTTTCAAATTTGCCAGCATGGATGGTTTCAGTACATTGAAGACAGCAACATCAATGTGGTCCTACTTCCAGGGAACCCCTGAAGTACTTCATGTGGTTTACTGAGCAATGGTCACTTAGCACTACTTTCCTCAAACTTGACTTTGAGTGTGAGTGTCACAAAAGCCCCCTCCAGTTACAGGCCTTATGCCCCGGTCTTCAGAGATCAGATTAAAGACTTGATCTCAGTCAGGGTTTGATGTTCCTGGGGAAACCAGTGAGGGGATGAGGCATTCTTATAGTTCCTGGGAGATTTGTAATCCAGAAGGGATGCACCAGAGCTCCCTTGCAACCATTAGAATAGAGTTAGGAAAATAGAGACAGCTTACTTTCTTCAAGGTCCTCTTCGCAGCCTTTGTAGGGGCAGTCCCAGCTCAGGCCCTAAGAAGTCCCCCAGGGTCCATTTTCTACCCAGTTGGATCCTGTTAAAAGCTAGATAGAGTATTATTTTTTTCTGCCCCATTTAATTTGTAGAAAATGTGAAAAAAATTGTTTTTTACTTATTATCAAATCTGTTTTCCTCCACAGTTTAAAGGTGTATTTGGCACATATGTTTATGGACAGACTGTAATTCTTAATGTAAGGTAAGTTTGTTATGGACTGCTGAGGTACTTTGGAGGCAGATGTGTGTCTATCTAACTTCCGAGCTTCTCCTGAGGTCTGCGTGTAACATTAAGACCCTCTGTGGCAAGTCACAAGTTAAGAGGAGAGGGTCAGTCTCAGTCTGAGCACTGCAAAGGGGACTGTGTGCCTTGGCCCTGCCTCTGATGTCACCCCAACTCTGGGCAGGCTGTGGCCTGCAGAAGGCAAGATTCTGTCTGTGATTGGCTGTGCAACAACTTGTGCACGTGGCCCAGGACATCATCTGGATCTCTTTGTCTTGATCCCATGGCTGCAAACCATACCTAGTCAATCCCTGGAATGTGCATTCCAGCGGGCCAGGGGGAGACTGAATGGCCCGTGATCATCTCTTCCCTCATATGGCAAGTGTGAGGTGGACAAGAACACCCAAATCACACACCTGGCTACTGAAGGGTCAGTGGTGAGCTCTTTCTGCAGTGAGAACAAGCACTTATTGAGCACTGCAATAGGTAATGGCAAGTGCTGGGTGCTATTTAGGGAAATAAAGAGGAAGAAGATTCTCAAGAAATTAGCAATTGCATCTCAGCCTCCTCTGAAGCACATTAATACACAAGTACTCAGGCTGAGGAAAGAATGCTCTAAGACAAACGAAGTTAGGTAGGAAAAGCAGTCCTCGTGTAGCAATGCACTATTTACATCTTAAGTCTTACTATTGTATTTATCCTTATAAGCCATATCAAATCCTTTGTGGAGGCCAGGCATGGTGGCTCACATCTGTAATCCTAGCACTCTGAGAGGCTGAAATTGGAGGATCACTTGAGGCCAGGAGTTCAAGACCAGCCTAAGCAACATAGTGGCACTACATCTACATCTTTTTTTTTTTTTTTTTTTGAGACGGAATCTCACTCCCGTCATGCAGGCTGGAGTACAGTTGCACGATCTCAGCTCACTGCAACCTCTACCTCCTGGGTTCAAACGATTCTCCTTCCTCAGCCTCCAGAGTAGCTGGGATTACAGGTGTACGCCCCACACCCGGCCTAATTTTTGTATTTTTAGTAGAGACGGGATTTCATCATGTTGATCAGGCTGGTCTCGAACTCCTGACCTCATGATCCACCTGCCTCAGCCTCCCAAAGTGCTGGGATTACAGGTATTAGCCACTGCTCCCGGCCTGAAAAAAAAAAATCTTTTAAAAATCTTTTGTGGAATGAGAGAGAGAGAGGGAGAGAGAGTTTGTGTATAAAATCTCAGAGAGGTCTTTTGAAAGTGATGGATTTCTAGCTTGGTCTTGAATGAGGGGCAAGTCTGGTTGGCAGTGAAGAGGCACAGTTTGCACAGTGGGAGGCTGGCAGCAAGCAGACGGGCTGGGCCCAAACGCAGAGACTCTGTAGCTGGAGGTGTACAGCAGACAGCTGCTGGAGGGCTGTGGATTGTTTCTAGGGATTAGGTTTGGTTTAGTGGACAACAGCCAGTTCATGTGTAGGGGATGACTGGATACAAACAGGAACGGTGAAATTGGAATGGAGTTAGCCAAACCTGTACTTGAATCCTGGCCTTGGCACTTCATCCCTGAGTGACCAGGCAGGTGTTCTAACCTCTGGGAACCTTTGTCACTGCATCTGTGTAATTGGGATAATCTGATCAACTTCCCTGGAGCCTTGTGAGGAGTAACTGAGATAACATCTGGAAGATTCCCTGTACGCAGTGCCTGGCACATAGTTGATTTCGACACCATTCTGTTTCCTTTCTAGAATATGGGACCCTGCAGTGTGATGGAGAGCTGGTCCCACAAGGTCATTTGGGGGATCCCCAAAACTGTGGCACTCCTTTGATTCTTAAGGAGTTGCTAAAAGGGAGCCAAGCTTGTTTGGAGGCAAACCTTCACCCGTGAGCTCAGAGGCATGGAGGGAACTACTTCCCCCACCTCAGGGCCCATTGCAGGGCAAATGCACCTGGGGCTCACCTAGAAAGGCATTTCTTAGGCTCCAGCCCAAAATTATCTCTCCCCTCTGACTCCCCAAGCTCTTTCCTACTATAGCAATGTTAGAATTGGAAGGATCCTCAGAATTTCTCTCTTTAAAACCTCTCTTTAAAACTCGTGCCCAGAGAAGCTGACTGGTCTTGGGCCACAAGGGTCTGGACCTCATGTCTTCACTCCAAGCCTAGTGACCTCGTCATTTATACTCAAGTGTGCAGTGGCTCCAGTGTTCCCTTTAACTATTTCACAGGTGTAACGTCTTGCCTCCTGAATTAGAGTATAAACCTGTAGGTTCTTTTAACGAATAAATTTTGGATGGCATTTGCTTTCCTAGCCCCAGTGCAAAGCTATACCATGTATTTCAACCAATATAGAATAATTTTTATGAAGTTCACCTTTCTCACTGCCCTATTACATTCCACTCCCACTCCCCGCCCCCCGCCCACCACCAAATCCCATCATGAATGAATTATGGTAGAAAATATTAAATTACAATGCTGAAGCCCATTTCATTTTTTGGACTCCATTTTGAGATGATTGTGCCTAAAAATGGAATTTGGTTCATGTTTTGCATTTTTCTTGATTGTTCTGAGGACCCAAGGTGGCTGCAAACATTGCCTAAATAGGTTGGCTATATTTTCAGGCTTCTGCATTTATTTGAAAGTCAAAATGAAATTTTAGCTGGGCATGGTGGCACGTGCCTGTGGTCCCAGTTACTTGAGAGACCAAGGCGGCAGGATCAGCTGAGCCCAGGAGGTCGAGACTGCGGTAAGACGTGATCTCACCACTGCACTCCAGCCTGGTGACAGAGCAAGACCCTGTCTCAAAAAAATAAAATAAAATAAAAATAAAAAAAAAGTAAAAGTCAAAAAGGAGTTAAAAAAAATTTACACAACAAAAATATATCCTGAGGCTTAATAGCACAGAGCGACAAATCAGATAGTGAAGAAGTTTTTAAAAGTCCCTTTTCCCCCTGTCTCAGTGATTGTATCGCTTGATTCATTTTGGACAATGAAATAATTGCACAGCTGTGCTTAGGGCTCTGAACTGCAGTGCTGATTAGAGAGAGAGACAGTGACAATGTCTTGCTTGTGGCAGGCACTTCATATTGCGGGTAGGATTTGGTAGTATGTGCTCATGTTTCCCGCAGCCCCGGCCCTCTTTTTCACTTCTCCTCTGGGTCGTGTGTGTCCAGGCCCAATCATGTTCCCACTTTGAAGCTGCCTGCTGACTTCCTGGTCCTCTCTGGGAGTGATCCAGGCTCTCTATGGCTGGTTGCTGCTTTCTCCGTGCACAGGGAGGGACACGCGCCCCTCTGTCTCTCTCAAAGAACCAGTCTGAGATTTAACAGTTCAGCAAGATCTACTCTCGCTGTCCTACAGAAAGTGACAATTTCCCATTTCAGGTGTTACTTGTTCTAATTCTGGTTAGCTCTAGGCTCCTAGATCCTTCAAATGATGATTCACAATTCTTCCAAAAATGATTATCCACAATTTTCCTGTTTTTTCCAACAGAATATTGTTTTCACCATAGGTTTCCTCTGAATACACATCAAACAGAGACCTCTAAGCCTGTACATTGCCATCTTTTTGCAGCCCCTGGCCTCCATATGTGGGTCCCAATCGTAGGGACAGGACAGCGGGTCAGGACTAGGGCCGGGAGATTCGGGAGTCTGGGAGATTAGAAGACTTATTTGTTGATTCTTCAGTTCAATTCATTAAGTGACAGCAGATTCATCTCATTTTTAGCACATCTCCGCCGTCAAGATCTGAAATGCGTGCTGCTGACAAGATTGTTAATGTAACAATAGTAACAATTTTGACAGAAACCACAAGTGACAATGAGAAGACTGTGAGTGATAAAATTAATCAAGCAGTTGAAAACAGCTCAAGCGGCATTCTAAGCTATAATTGTAAGTATCGTATAATTTTATTCAAAGTTTACCTGAAGACCTACCTACCGTTTTTTGTAAACCTTTTCATTGTATGTGAAAAGGAGGCAAGAACTGCATCATTGAACCGACAAATGTCTCTGAATTTCTTTTTAACCAATTCTTCTTCCCTTTTATTGCTCACTTGCCCTCTGCTTCTTTCCAGCTATCTTCCAAGTCATCAAACTGACCAGTGTGTTCCTCTCTAGGAAGGTATAAATGACCAGACAAACCCCTGCTGGACAGGGAAAGAAAAAGGAGAAACAACGGGGCTTTCTGTGGAGTTACAGCTTTCCAAATGATTACAGAAAGTTTTACCTATGGCTGGGCATGGTGGCTCATGCCTGTAATCCCAACACTTTGGGAGGCCAAGATTGGCAGATTCCTTCAGCCCAGGAGTTTGAGACCAACCTGGGCAACATGGTAAAATCTCTACAAAAAAATACAAAAAATCAGCCAGGTGTAGTGGTGCAGGTCTGTGGTCTCAGCTACTTAGGAGGCTGAGGTGGGAGGATTGCGTGAGCCGAGGAGGTTGAGGCTGCAGTGAGCTGAGATCATGACACCACACTCCAGCCTGGGCAATAGAGCAAGACCAAGCATTACCTGTACTATTTTCCCCTTTAGACTGACACACAAACCCACCACGTAGCTGTAGCAATTTGCGTTTGCTGTGCTACAATGGTAGTGGCCAAAAACAACCATCATTTATTTATTGCAACCCTGGAATTCTTTGGGTCTGAATTTGGGCTGGGCTCAAGTGGATAGTCTGCTGATCTGGGCCAGGCTTAATTGATCTCTGCTGGGCTCACTTAAGCATCTGCCATTAGCTGCTGGGTCAGATGATTGGTTTGTCTCTGCTCCACACGGTCTCTTCTTCTCAGCAGACCCATCCAAAGGATTTCAAGAGAAGCAAGGGGGTAAAATGCACAAGTATTTCTCAAGGCTCTGCTTACATCAGAGTTACAACTGTCCAGTTGGCTAAAGCAATTCTCATGACCAAGCACAGTGTGGAAGGGCCCTGCCAAAGGGGTACAGAAAGGTGTGAGTAAATTGATGTCATGACTGCAGTCAACCCACCGCAGCAGTCATCAGAAGTTCCTCACCCCAGAGGTGACCCGTTGGGGCTAGTCCCGGGAAGAGGTGTTTGCAGCTGGTTCTCAGTCCTGGCTGGCTGCCAAATCCAGAATCCTCCGTTGGGCCACAACTTATTTGACTTTTCTATAGCATTTGACACTAGTATCGTTCCCTTCTAGATGTTCCTTCTTCCTGGGCCTGCATCCACCATTCTCCTAATCACCTTCATGCCTCCCTCATCCTTCTTTTTGCTTCTTCTAAGACTCCTTTCTTCATCTATTAAATGTTTGCTTGCTTGTTTGTTTGTTTGTTCGTTTGACAGGGTCTCACACTGTTGCCCAGGCTGGAGTGCAGTGGGATGATCTTGGCTCACCGCAACCTCCAACTCGCGGGTTCAAGCGATTCTCCTGCCTCAGCCTCTCAAGTTGCTGGGATTATAGGCATGCGCCACCACGCCCAGCTAATTTTTGTATTTTTAGTAGAGACGATTTTCACCGTTTTGGCCGGGTTGGCCTCGAACTCCTGACCTCAGGTGATCTGCCCACCTTGGCCTCCCAAGGTGCTGGGATTATAGGTGTGAGCCACCATACCCAGCCGGAAAATACTTTTTCCTGTTTTCTGGCTTCAGTGGCAAAGATAAATCATTTTCTTTGCCCAAAATTGTAGAATCTCTTGCTCTAGGCTTTTAATCCGAGGCATTTTCATGTGGCAGGTGATGAAGGAGGCTCAGTTACAGTTTGGGATGTTTAGTAGAGAGGAGCCATATGACTCTAACTACTCCTATTCTCTCCCCCTAATCCATTCTCAGACTCATCTTTTTTTTTTTTTTTTCTTCCCACGACAGAGTCTTGCTCTGTTACCCAGAGCTGGAGTGCAATGGTATGATCTTGGCTCACTGCAACCTCTGCCTCCTAGGTTCAAGCAATTCTCCTGCCTCAGCCTCCTGAGTAGCTGGGATTACAGGTGCCTGCCACCACACCCAGCTAATTTTTGTATTTTTAGTAGAGACAGGGTTTCACCATGTTGGCCAGGCTGGGCTCAAACTCCTGACCTTGTGATCCACCAGCCTCAGCCCCCCAAAGTGCTGGGATTACAGATGTGAGCCACCACGCCCAGCCCAGACTCATCTTTTAACCCTAATGCCTTCCAACCCATTTTTATTTATTTATTTATTTTTATATTTCGAGACAAGGTCTCACTCTCACTCAAGTTGGAGTGCAGTGGCATGATCATGGCTCACTGTAACCTTGAACTTCTGGACTCAAGTGATCCTCCCACTCCAGCCTCCTGAGTAACTGGGACTACAGGAGCTTGCCACCATGCCCAGCTAACTTTTAAATTTTTTCACTGTGTTACCCAGGCTGGTCTTGAACTCCTAGGCTCAAACGATCCTCCTGCCTTGGCCTTCTAAAGTGCTGGAATTGCAGCTGTGAGCCACTGCACCTGGCCCCAAAACTTATTAAAATGCGAAGTATAATAGCAATGGGGTGGAGTAATTTTCACAAATTACCTTATCCATATTGTCATGCTGAATATATTTTAAAATTATTTGTGCTTCTCAGTGACCTCTAGGTGTGATTATTATGGCTGTAAGCAGGCTGTGGATGAATGCATCAATGGTTTGGCATGCGATTGCAAACCTGGCCTGCAAAGGACTAACCCACAGAGCCCTTTCTGTGTTGGTAAGTGTTTCACCTGCTTTTAAATGTTCTTCACAACTCCACTTTCTCTCCTTTTGCAACAAAATTCACTGCTTAAGCTTCCACGTGCATTTCAGAGTCTGAGTGATGTGACTTCTGACTTTAGACATATGGACCATGGCTGGGACCTTTGCTAACCCATGTCCAGCTTCACAGGGGACACATCATGTGTGGAGTCAATAAGCATCTCATTTTACCTAGAAGAAACAATGTGAAAAACACTGTCATGTTGTCACATGTGACTTTGGAGTTAAAGAGATTGTTTCTGAAAATTACCCAGAAATCATTCTGTTTTGAAGCTTCCAGTCTCAAGTGTCCTGATGCCTGCAACGCAGAGCACAAGGAATGCTTAATAAAGAAGAATGGCGGGGCCCCTGAGTGTATGTGCGTGCCCGGCTACGAGGAAGATGGTAATGGGAACTGCCAAAAGTAAGAAAAATTACTTTGTTTTTGTCTTGCCATAGCTGGAGCTAGGCAAAGAAGAGCGACCTTATAACACGTATATAGACGTTGAGTCAGGAAGTTGGTAAGCTGGCATAGGTTGGCAGAGACAGAGCATCTTCGTCATCATCAATAGTTTTTTTTTTTTTTTTTTTTTGAGATGGAGTCTCACTCTGTCCCCCAGGCTAGAGTGCAATGGCGCAATCTCGGCTCACTGCAACCTCCGCCCCTGGGGTTCAAGCGATTCTCCTGCCTAAGCCTCTCGAGTAGCTGGGATTACAGGTGCCTGCCACTGCGTCCGGCTAATTTTTGTATTTTTAGTGGAGACGGGGTTTCACCATCTTTGCCAGGCTGGTCTTGAACTCCTGACCTCATGATTCACCCTCCTTGGGCTCCCAAAGTGCTGGGATTACAGGCATGAGCCACTGCGCCCAGCATCATCTATAGTTTTTGAGCATCATCTATGCTCCAGGAAACACACTAGGTAATACCTATCGCACAGCAACACTGTCAGGAAATGTCTTAATTTCCCATTTTCAGGTGAGGAAACTGAATGTAAATAACATCCTCCAGCTCACAGGGCAGCAAATAAGTGACAGAGTGATGTGGTGTCACAGCCTGATAGCATCCCACTACCCTCCATGCCTCTTGGGTCCAGTTTTGCCTGAATTGCAGAATCTTCCTGGAGCCTGGAGGATGGAGTGTTCAGTCAGTAACAAATGAGCCTGCATGGGATTGCATACTCCCCTCACCTTTCCAGAACCCCATGGAAGGTGGTCTCCTGGAAGAATGAGAGTGTAAGGAAGACAAAAGAAAGAGCAAAAAAAAGCAAGGGAGGACAGAATAAAAGGAAGATGGAAAGGAAGAGGTGGAGATTGGGGTGGGAACTCTGACACGCTCCCCATAGGGGCTCTTTAACAGTTTCCTATCGCTCACTGTATTTCAGGTGTGCATTTGGCTACAGCGGACTCAACTGTGAGGACAGTGAGTATGAAAGTCTTGCTATTATAAACAAGTTATTAAACATCTGAGAAATCAGTAGTGACCCCATTCAACATCCTGCCCAGTCCTTCAAAGTCTCTGTCCTCTTTCATAAAGAGAGAGACCGTCTGCCTCCAGTTTGCCTTCTGGGTCCTGCCATGCCATGCCCACCCTTAGGTTATGAACAGCAGCCCCTCTGCCGTAGAAAATAACAGAACTCAGCCCCAGGAGTGGGCTGGTACCTCTGGACTTGCTTGAGACCAGAGAAGGGCATCTTAGCATTATATTGATCTCCTACATTAGCTTACATATGCATTATCTGCTGCTACTAGAGATAAAAGACCAGTACATTCCAAAAATTCTGGTGGTTGTAGAAGAGCAGACCTAGAAACCAGACATTTAAATACTCAAATCCTTTTGTCTCAGAGCTATTTACTGGTTTGGGATATTTTGCTGCAAATTCAAATTCTGTTCCCTCCCATGCCCCACCCCCACCAGATTAAGACAATACTAGCTTTAAATTTTCAATCATTTTATATTCTAAAATGTACATAATGAACTAAAGATCAGTCTTCCAAGCTGAAGGAAATGTTACTGTCAGCCTTCCTGCCAGCCATGAAGATAGTGATGAGTGACATTCTCCATTTTTACTGTATTTTATTGCAAGGAATAATTTGCTAAGTCTTTCTTCAGGGCTTTCAATTTCCACACCTATAAAATGAGAAGTTTGGACTAAACAAACTTTGAGATCTTTCCCAGATTTGCTAGTCTATGGCCCCATGAATCCACATTAAAGGTGGCATTTGTGAAAGTCATATAAAAGAAAGAGATGAAGAGGTCTAGAGCAGTGTTGTGCATTGTGCAATAGAAATATTGTGTGAGCTACGCATTTCATTTGAAATTTTAGAAATTTCAAGTAAATTGTTAGAAGTAAAAGGAAACAGATGAGGTTGATTTTAAGAATATATTTTATTTAACTCATATAGCCAAAATATCATTTCAACATGGAATCAATAAAAAAAAGATAAACCAATTATCTCACAGTTTTTTCACATGAGGTGTTTGCAGTCTGGTGTGTCTGTTACATTGTGTCTCATAGCCACAGTCAGGTGTCAATAGCGCCAACCAGGGCAGAGTTAGGAGAGGAGAATGGGTGATAATGAATGTCTAGGCTCTTCCCTCATTGATGTTATTATCAAGCCATTAGCTGGCTCCTCTAGCAGTGACATTTAACTCCAACCTGGTTTCCTTAGCTTATCAGTAAGGTGAGGTATGGAGGGCAGGCAAAGGCAGCAGAGGTAAGGAGGGAGGTGTGGCCCTCAGTTGATACTCCACTCCCCACAAACTCCAGGAAGACCCTGCCACCGTCGGCCTCCTTTGTATTTACAGTCTTTTGTCTGGCAAGGCTGCCTGTTCCAATTGAGTTCTGAAGGCACAGTTTAGGAGGTGTGAGGGGCGGATGCTAAAGGAAATAGGCCAACTACCCAACCGGGCCTGGAGGGTTGGAGACCAGAGCCTGATCGTCTTCACAGCTAGGAGTCCCTGGGAATACATGAACCTGTTCAGTAGACAGTTGGGGGCTGGCTTGCTGGAGACTGTTCTTATTTTCTTCTCCCTTTCAGAATTTCAGCTGATCCTCACTATTGTGGGCACCATCGCTGGTATTGTCATTCTCAGCATGATAATTGCATTGATCATCACAGCAAGGTATGGGATGAAAGTGTCCTTTTTAATTCTTTTTTTTTTTTTATAGAGAGATGGGGGTCTCACTCTGTTGCCCATGTTGTTCTCAAACCCCTGGATTCAAACCATCCTCCCACCTCGGCCTCCCAGAGTGCTGGGATTACAGGCATGAGCCTGGCATGAGCCACCACCCCTGCCAGAAGTGGCCTTTTCCTGTGGCACAGCACCACCAGCATGACACTCTCTAGTTTCCAAACACATTCATCCTCTCCTGGGCAAGAGAAGGGAGATAAGGAGAGGCCTTTCTAATACCACTAACGTTTTTTCCTTACCTTAGTTTTCTTCTTATTATATAAGCAATAGCATGATCATGGAACAAAATCAAGAAAATAGAGCAGTGGGTAAAGGGGTGGAATTTAAAAATCACTCACAAAACCCACCACGCTGAGGCAACTAACATTTTGAGATGTAACCTTCCAGATTTATTTCTATCTTTTAAAATAATATTATATACATAATTTTGTATCTTTTGTGTTTTTAAAATTTTGGATTGAGGTTTTTTTTTGGTTTAACACCGTAAGATGACATAGCAACTATTTTCTTATGTCATTAAAAACTCCTTGTTAATGTAATAGTATTTAACTCCACTGAAGTTGTGAAATACAGTTTTCATCATGTCACTTCCCTGTCCAGGACTCTGCTACAGATGGTCTAAAATCAACCTCAACTGAACCCCTGGGTTTTTTAAAACTTTTTTTAAGAAAGGTTATTTCGTTAGCCGGACATGGTGGTGGCACCCCTGTAATCCTGCTACTCAGGAGGCTGAGGCAGGAGAATCCCTTGAACTGGGAGGTGGAGGCTGCGGTGAGCCAAGATTGCCCCACTGCACTCCAGCCTGGGTGACAGAGCAAGACCCTGTCACACACGCACACACACAAACACACATGTGTTATCTCTGCAAGGCTATTTCTCAGCTTGGTGCCTTAAGGTCTCTTCTCTTACGGAAAGGGCAATAGAGTTCATTCATTCAACAGATATTCAGATAGACTAAAGGTCCTCCCATTAACAGGGAGGCAAATGCTGTGATCTCTTTCCCATTCTACATGTGCCAACTGGGGATCCACTTTGATTTTTTAAAGCTACTGTTTTCTAACATTTACTTCATGTCTTATATTTTGGCAAAATAAGTAGTTTTCCACTACAATGTGAGAGGATAAACAGATTTTAGGTTCCTGAAATATTTTGTTCTTTTTTTTTTTTTTTTTTTTCCTTAAGACAGAGTCTTGGTCTGTCACCCAGGCTGGAGTACAGTGGTGTGATCTTGGCTCATTGCAACCTCCACCTCCCAGGTTCAAGCGATTCTCCTGCCTCAGCCTCCCGAGCAGCGGGGACTAGAGGCACGTGCCACTGTGCCTGGTTAATTTTTGTATTTTTAATGGAGATGAGGTTTCACTGTGTTAGCCAGGCTGATCTCGAACTCCTGGCCTCAAGTGATCTGCCCACTGTGGCCTCCCAAAGTGCTGGGATTACAGAGGTGAGCTACCAAGCCCAGCCTCTTTTCAAGTCTTTGAACTTATTTTACTCATTTTACCCACCGAGGTGATTCTTAGATGTTGACTTTGCTTGAATGAAATGCTGTATCACAAATTATCTTTTCTCTTTGACCTCTATTGTCATTTCCAGAAATAATTCAAAAGCACACTTAAGAATAATAATATTATGAGCAAAATATGAATGAGGCCAGTGGAATTAGATGGTTATGTTGGATCAGCATTGAAGTCCAGGTTTTGTAGATACTCAGAGCTTATGAGCTTAAACTTAGGGAACCTACACTGAAGAAAATAATGAAGTGTTTTATTTCATTCTTAGTGGGGCGTTCTTTGGTTATGCAACTTACTCTTAATTGGTTCAGAAATGTTAATAATTGGGGAATCTGGGTGATAAGTGTGTGAGAACACTGTAATATATGTATTTTGTAACTTACAAATAAATGTGAAATTATTTCAGAATTTGAAAATATTTTTAAAAAGAACGTTAACATTTACTTCAAGAAACTTTCTGCCATTGTCAAATCCTAATTCCTCTTACTGATTACAGATCAAATAACAAAAAGAAGGATATTGAAGAAGAGAACTTGATTGACGAAGACTTTCAAAATCTAAAACTGCAGTCGACAGGCTTCACCAATGTTGGAGCAGAAGGGAGCATCTTTCCTAAGGTCAGGATAGCGGCCTCCAGAGACAGCCAGATGCAAAATCCCTATGTAAGCCAGAGCAACGTGCCCCGCCCTGACTATTAGGTGAGTCAGTGGGCTTTCGCTCCTGCTTTTGGGACTGAATGCACCAGGGCAGAGCAGAGACCTGGTTGTTGGATCTTCAATCCTTGGCTGCCCTGCAGGCTTTCTTTTTCTTTTTCTTAACTGAAAGAGAGAGAGATCAAAAAGGGAGTTCTCTGCTGTTGTAACTCTGAGCATCTATGTGATTTCAGATACATCACTTAATTTCCCTGGCCTTTGATTTTCTCATCTGTAAAAAGGGCAGCTTAATTTAGATACCCCAAAGGTCCTTTAGATTACCAGCTTCCATGAATATGACTCCAGAGATCATGATGATACTTCTCAGGCTGTTTAAAGACCTAGGTCCTCCGGCAGGACCAGGGAAGGACATTGGATGTAAACATAGTTCTGTGGGATCCTTTTCACCAGGCTATGTAAAGGCAATGCTCTCTTTCCCTGCTGCTTGATCTCAAGGCAACTCAATCTATTTTTTTAGTTCTATTTGTTGTTGTTGTTGTTATTGTTTCAAGACAGGGTCTCACTCTGTCACCCAGACTTGAGACCAGTGGTATGATCTTGGCTCACTGCAGCCTCAACCTCCTGGGCTCAAGTGATCCTTCTACCGCAGCCTCCCAAGTAGCTGGGACTACAGGCACATGCCACCATGCCCGGCTAATTTTGGTATTTTTTGTAGAGACGGGGGTTTCTGCCATGTTGCCCAGGCTGGTCTCAAATGCCTGAGCTCAAGTGATCCTCCCCCCTCATCCTCCCAAAGTGCTGGGATTACAGGCATGAGCCACTGAACTGGGCATCAGTCCATTTCTAAAGAGATAAAATGGAGCTTAGCTTGTTGGCTCATCCCCATACTCCTAGCACTTTGGGAGCCGGAGGCAGGAGAATCGCCTGAGCCCAAGAGTTTGAGACCAGCCTGGGCAAATAATGAGACCCCATCTCTACAAAAAATAATAATAATAAAAATATAGCTTTTTTTTAAAGGAGATAAGGCTAGTTAGGCTGGCAATACTGTATTTCTCTAGGGAGAACTTTCAAGGACAATAGCTTGTACCCACTGGGTTTGTACTGGATAATCATAGCTGGCACTGCTTAGTGTGATTGAATGAAATGTTGAAAGGAGGAAGCCTGTACGAGACTTTTGGAGGAAGAGTGACAGGAGACTGAGATGGAAAGAAGGAAGATGGTGAAGGAAGAGGAGAAAGGGAGCTGGGGAAGAGATGGGGAATGGAAGAGACACGAGAGAAATGATAGAATGTGGGAGAAAGCTGAAGAAGACAAATAATGAAAGTAATGTTAATAATTTACAGATCTAAATGATCTCATATGTTTCTGTTGGAGTATTTTCTAAGAGTATTATCTCTCCCTCTCTCTTTCTGTCTAGAATCATAAGAATGTGGAACCCGCCATGGCCCCCAAACAATGTACAAGCTATTATTCAGAGCATTTAGAAAGACTGATGGAGAAGTGAGCACCAGTAAAGATCTGGCCTCCAGGGTTTTTCTTCCATCTGACATTTGCCTGCCTCTCTGAATGGAAGCTGTGGATGTTTGCAAGAATCCATCTTGCTTGCAAAATGAGAGTCTATGACATTAAATGTAGTAGATGCTATTAGATGCTTGTCAGAGAGGTGGTTTTCTTCGATCAGTACAAAGTACTGAGACAATGGTTAGGGTTGTTTTTAAAATTTTTTTTCCTGGTAGGGCAACAAGAATCGTTTCCAATGTAGAGGAAAGCTCCCCAGCATTGCTTGCTGAACGTTGCTCTTGAGTTGAGATAAATGACCTAATTCCCCTGAGAAACATATGCATCAACTGTGGAGGTCCGAGGAGATGAGAAGAGATACTCATCATCTTTCAAGGGTCACAAGCTCACTCTCTGACACATCAGAATAGGGATACTGCTTCTATCCCTCCAATGGAGGGATTTTGGCAACCTTTGAACGGCTCAGAGCTTGCAACCTAGCCTCACCCAAGAAGCCTGGAAGGAGACATATCTCTCAGCTTTTTCAGGAGGCCTGACTGGGAATCCAGGAACTTTCTGATGCTAATTAGAAGGCCTAGACTAAAAATGCCCACTATGGGGTACACTCTACAGTTTTTGAAATGCTAAGAGGCAGAAGGGGCAGAGCGTAAAAAAACATGACCCGGTAGAAGGAAGAGAGGCAAAGGGAACTGAGCGGGGAGGATGAATTAGAGAGGAGGCACCTGAGATCCACCTTCTTCCTTAGGTCCCCTCCTCCATCAGCAAAGGAGCACTTCTCTAATCATGCCCTTCCAAAGACTGGCTGGGAGAAGATGTAAAAACAAAAAACCCAGGAGTAAGAGCCTTAGGTCAGTTTGAAATTGGAGACATGCTGTCCAGCGAAGGGTGCGAGTGGGAGCTTAAGCTCAGGGGTCCAGCCGCCCAGCCTTGGGGTATAGGTTCCTGAGGTGTGCCTTTGGAGCCTCAGCCTTCCCTGGTGACAGAGGCTTAGCTGTGGCCACCAACACACACAGCCACACACACACACACACGAATGGGGGCAACCACATCCAGCACAAGCTTTTACAAATGTTATTAGTGTCCTTTTTGATTTCTAATGTCTTGTCCTATTAAAAGTTATTTTATTTGTTATTATTATTTGTTCTTGACTGTTAATTGTGAATAGTAAAGCAATAAAGTGCCTTTGTCAGATGGTGTCCTTTCTTGTGTTTGGCGCTTTTTTTTTTTTTTTTTTTTTTTGAGACACGGTCTTGCTCTGTCACCCAAGCTGGAGTGCAGTAGTATGAACATGACTCACTGTAGCCTCAAACTCCTGGGTTCAAACAATCCTCACACATCAGCCTCCTGAGTAGGTGGGGCTACAGGAGTATGCTATCATGCCCAGCTAATTTTTTTTTTTTTTTGGTAGAGACAGGGTCTCACGATGTTGCCCAGGCTAAGTTTGGGGGTTTTGATGATGCACACAGCAGTTAGTCTCATTTTAAATAGCAAACATGACACATGGTAAATGGGAGTGATTGACATCTGCTGTCCTTATTAGGGGTTATTGGATTACTCAAGGTAACATTCTACTGGACAGGAGACATTTGCTTCTCCCGTGCACATCCCACTCCTACCCCATGATGAAACGGCCGAGCATTTTGGGTGGGGCTGATCCCGCTCCCAGCTACAGAGGTTGGCCCTAGTTGACTCAAGCCAATCAGTGAAATCCCATGCCTCCTTGCCACAGTAATTGTCCTAAAAGTGAACATGTGGCATAAGTGGATACAATTAGAATAAAGCCTAAACTTTGCTAGGAAGTTTGGAGAAAGAGAAACTTTCTTCTTAAAAAGTGAGCTTGAGGGTGTGAGGTCTTCAACTGCTTCTGTTTTGCTGGGGACAAAGCTGACACACACACAGGCGAAGAGCTGAGAGACCCAGAGAGAAATGGACCTGGCACCTTGATCAAACCATACCTGAAGGCTCTGGCCTTTCCTCAGCTACAAGGCCAATTTGAGTAGTTTTTCCTGTTATTTGCAGTCAAAAAATCCTCACTGATACCACTTATGTTTATTCTTGTATTCTCATGGCTAAGTGGTGAATCACATACAAGAAACATACTCTTGTGAGCTATTAATGCCCCACTAAACCAATCAGTTAACAGCAGCGGAGTTAATGCAGGCAGAACTCAAAATTGGCTGGCCACTGTAATTTGTCATCACGGACTCTATTTCTGACCTGCATATTACCCCCTTTATATTTAAATATGGTTCTGGATTCGGTACTGGCAGAAGGCTATTGGAACCTTATTTCTAAAGAGGCCTTTCCCCCTTCCTGATCCCCCTTTGAACCAGAGCATGCCAGCTCCTTTCAATTCTCAAAGGTCCTGAGCCATACTAATTCTGGGCTTTCTGGGCCATTCTTCAAAGACTTCCATTGCTATTGTTTGAATAAAAATAATCTCCTAAACATGTATATGTATAATGTTTATGAAAATGACTTTTGCATTTGCATTCAAAAAGTTCTTTTTTATTATTGTGCAACATGACCTATAATTCATTTGTTTCTGCCTGCTGGTACCATTGCAAAGGTTTCCTTACTAATTGTCCTGCCATCTTGGAGGGCTGTCACAGTGAACTTTCTATGATGCATACCTGATTGTGACACTCCCTTGCTTAAGCTTTCAGGGATCGTTCACTGAGAAATAGAGCTCATAGAATAAAAGACTCCTGGTGGCATGGCACTTCTAGATATCCGGTTACTACCGCTGATTTTGCTGGCTTTGCCTCATGCCCCTCCCTACGGTGCACTAACACTTTGGCCACACCTGCTGTTTCCTAAACACACCACCTCTTTAATTAATTTTTTTTTTTTTTTTGAGACAACATCTGGCTCTGTCGCCCAGCCTGGAGTGCAGTGGTGCGATCTTGGCTCATTGCAAACTGCCTCCCAGGCTTAAGCCATCCTCCCACCTCAGCCTCCTGAGTAGCTGGGACTACAGGCACATGCCACCACACCTGGCTAATTTCTGGGTTTTTGTAGAGATGAGATTTTGCCATGTCACCAGGCTGGTCTTGGATTTGTGAGCTCAAGCAATCCACCTGCCTTGGCCTCCCAAAGTGCTGAGATTACAGACATGAGCCATTGTGCCCAGCCAACATACCATCTCTTCATGCCTCCATTCCTTTGCTCATGCTTTCCCTCATGCTCATGCTTTCCCATTTGGGAATGCCCATTTCCTTCAACTACCTAATGTCTTAATCTGTTCGAGCTGCTCTTATGAACTACTACAGACTGAGTGGCTTACAAACAACATAAGTTATTTCTCACAGTTCTGGAGGCTGGGAAGTCCAAGATCAAGGTGTCAGCCAATTTGGTGTCTGGTGAGGACCCAGTTCCTCATCTTTTCACTGCAACCTCACGTGTTGGAAGGGGCAAGAGATCTCTCTGGGTTTTGTTTTGTTTTGTTTTAGATGGAGTCTCGCTCTGTTGCCCAGGCTGGAGTGCAGTGGCACGATCTTGGCTTACTGCAAGCTCTGCCCCTTGGGTTCAAGCAATTCTCCTGCCTCAGCATCCTGAGTAGCTGTGACTACCAGTGCCCGCCATCATGCCCAGCTAATTTTTTATTTTTAGTAGAGATGAGGTTTCACCCTGTTAGCCAGGATGGT